TTCACTATCAACATCATACCCCTTTATACGCGAAAACCAAGTAAAATAAATCTCCGTGTTTCCAGTCGTTCTCCTCAGCAGCCATGACAGTTCTCGCGTGATGTAATGAGACTTGCGCTTGAAATTTAGAATCACTTGATAATGTAAATGTCGGTGTCGATAAAAGTTTGTGTTGTATGATATCATAAATATCGATAAATAAAAGCATTCCATGTGATATTTTTTCATATACAGTGATATTTATGCTTAAAATAAGGGAAATCCATACAGATCCGCTCCCGTAGATCCCGAATTCTCATTGGTTGTCCCAAAATAAAATCGATCAAGGTCAGTAAACATGGCGGATAAATTCAAGTTGTGATGTTGACATACACGAAAATTAACCGATATACGGATTGTCCTGTATATTTTTGGATCAATTCATGTTCTGCATAACTACAATTTATGAGTTCAGGTAAGATATGTTAATAAAATACCCACTTACTGATAATTTGAGCCGAAATCTGTGCGGTAGTGAATCACTCCCGCACTTGCACCATTACGGAGGTCCTAAGGAGTTGTAGCCCTCTCCCAAAAAAAAAAAAAAAAAAAAAAAAAAAATCGGAGAGGGCTACATTATTGCAGCTAGTGTTGGTAGTCTGTTAATTATCCTTCCATCACTCCACTTATCTCCCTTGATGGCCCCATTACAAGCATCCTCCCCTCTCATTTTCTGATAATCTTGTTAACCCTCTTACTCCTACAGATTAAAACAATTACTGACTGCTGAGTTCAATGAAATTTCACCGTTAAAACTCACAGTCTCTTTTATAGTTTTTAGCTTTTGGAAAAAAGAAAATTATTATTTATCAAAATAGATGTACATCATTTAACAGTTCAGGGTTAGGGTTGATCATTAAATCATTTGATAATGAATTATGTCACACGACATATTTTTAATTTAGAATGCATGACTCAGTTTTCAGCTAAACAAATGCTTTTCGGTACATAAAAAAATCCTTTATTTCATCAAAATCCTATTCTGCATTTTCTTTGACTTGACAACTATAGGTCTAGGCCTACATTCTGTGTAACTATCCTACAGGTACATTCAACACTCCATAATGCCTCCACCCTACCATGCCTACGCGATCTATAATACTCCATGTAAAAGTTTGTATGTCACATACCAAAGAATCAAAATATTTTTTTTTAAAAATCAAAGGTAGATAGCTATATTTAAAAGTTTCCTAAATTTTTGAAAGAGAAAACCTGACATCAAAAAATATAAGATTGACGAAACTAACCTGGTTGATCGCGATCACAGTGTGGACACGAAGTCCTCCTTCGCTAACAGTAGCATGTGCGAGATTCCTCGCGGAGCCCTTGGAAGATCTCCGGAAACTGTTTAGATCTCTCACCTGTTGGTTAAAGCCGAATTCTGCTAAAAATAGAACAGCATGAATGTAGTCGTCAGCAGACGCCTCGTTGCAGTTGACCTGACGGGGTCAGCTCAGTCCGACAAACAGGCCCATTTAATTTGTTGTTTTTTTTTATAATTGAGGTGGTGTGATAAATAAGAGTATTTATCAGATATTCTCTGTTATCTCTCTATGTCCCTCTTTGAATTCAAGAATTTGAAAAAAAAATACATAGATGTATGAAATATTCCGACCTGCAGATGACGTCATATTACGACAGTCCCTTTGAGACCCTTTGGCGCTTGCATGCATGACCCTCCTCTCCACCCTCTGTCCAACACATATATCGCGATACACAATGTATAATCTGTGGATAAGGCCTATGTGTTCTGATTGATTAAGAAGTTTACAAAACTTTTCGACGAAATTCAAAGCCTTGGATTTATATAGTGCAGATGTCAAAATTTTTCAGGATTTAATTGTCATTCATTCTTAAAACGTTCAGATATATTTTCAGCTGTCAAATATCGATGCATCTTACTGTTATTTTTGTTTAAAATACATATGTATTATAGCAAATCAAGGTTCTTAATAGAACAATCCGGGCCCTGGCCCTGGTTTTAAAGCCATCATCCGTCGCAGATCCAAGTAATCCTAAATATCTGACGTTTTCCAGGCGTTTTTCACGAGTTCGAAAACGTTTTTTTTTTGTTTTTTTTTTTTGTTTTTTTTTTTCACGATTTTGATGTTTGACGTACGAGGAAACCTTCCCGAAAACCTTCCTTGTTTATCAAAATCGTGAAAATCGCCAGATATTTAGAAATTTTCATTGCCGGAAAGGCAGTCCCCTCCCACTTTTTGTTAAACACTATATAAAAATCGTTTCCATTTTTATTTGTAGAGAAGAGAGAGTAGTCTTCTTTTTATAATCTTTCTCCTCACGAATTACGTATTACGAGTTTGGACAGTTCTCCCTTTTTTTTCACTTGTGAAAGATTTTTTCATGCATCTCTCTCTCTCTCTCTCGCCAATTACCCCCCCCCCCCCACAACACACATACACACACCCTCACACACACACACACACACTTTGAAAACTGATGCTACATGCCTGTCTCAGCCGTACTTTCAAAGAGTGATTGCCTTTTTTTCAAAAGCATTCTAGATGTGAGATTTCTTTAAAAAAAAAAAGATCATTCTATTTGTTTTATTACTTTATTTATTTAAAGATAGGACTTTCCTGTAAATTACACAATTTAAATCAATCACGTTTCAAAGATATTAGAAATTTAACTGAAACAATAACCGATTTATTTACCGACTCCGCATTTAAATAACAGACACAGTTTAAAGACAATATAACTATGGAATCATGATGTTATTCAAATTCAAAAATCGATGAAAATTTTAATTTGAACGTACATAACATATACCATGTTTATCTACACTCAATCTTGTATTTTTATTTTTTAGCTCAGATACGCCTTATATTTATCATCATCAGCTAAAGGTATATACAAGCAAGACTTTCTTAACTTGAAAAGTATTGCTCTGATTGGTGTTTAAAGGTAAACATTCAAAAAACTAAAGTCATGATCTTTAATAAAGCTGGTCGTAATTTCACGCAAAAACTAATGTTTCAAAATAATAGGACAGACTGTGTATCTAGGTACAAATATCTTGGAGTTCACCTAACTGCATCTGGAAGTTTTCATGTAGCAAGATCAGAGCTTTATAAAAAGGCGTTAAAAGCATATTATAAATTGAGAAATGATTTTATTAATTTGAATCCTGGGATTAAAACGAGTATACATGTATTTGACTCTACTATTAAACCAATTCTTTTGTATAATGCAGAGGTGTGGGGTGCAAGTAATATCAATACTAAAAAGATTCCTAAAATGCCAAAAGTTAGAAGTTGAAGACTGTTTCAGAAAATCTACTTTGTGAAAGAATACACCTTAAATTCTGTAAATATATTCTTGGTGTTCATAAGAAAAGTACAAATTTTGCAGTATTGTCTGAATTGGGAAGGTTCCCCCTGCATTATGATATTGTCAAATTGTTAATCAAAAGTTGGTATAGATTTGAAAATTTGTCCACAGAATTTCCTTTACTTAAAGATGCATATATGAATGTAGTAAAAATCCTTTTTTGTACATGGAAAGAACTCATGGTTCGCATTTGTACAGAAATTAAGAAATATACTGAATATCAAAGATGAAGTAATTTGTTATGGGAAGCATAAATTTAAGTCACTCTGTCATAAAACCATATTAGATTATTATGTAAAAAATTGGTATACACTGTACAAGTCAACAAAGTTATACTGATAGTAAATTAAGCACATATGTAAAACTCAAACAAAATTGGGGTTATGAGAATTATTTATCAGTAGTTAAAAATTTTCATCACAGAAAATCTCTATATAAATTAAGAATTTCTTGTCACAGATTGCAAATTGAAGTGGGAAGATTTACCAACATCCCTCGAGAAGATCGATTATGCAATAGATGTAACTCTAACAGTGTAGATGATGAAACTCATTTTCTCATAACATGTAAAAAATATGATCATCAAAGAAAAGAAATTTTTCAATCAATTAAAAGTAAATTTCCAAATTTCTCGGCATTAGATGATGAACAAAAACTTTTTTGGTTACTCAATACTGAAGACAAAGAAACTCTTAATTCTGTGGGCAAATTCATAAATGATAACATGTTGTAGTAGCCATACAGTTTTATACATAGTATTCCCTTTAACTGAAATAGTACAATATTATTGTTGAAATGAGCAGTGTCATTTACAAATTGTTATACCATGGCCGTAGGAACCGGGGGGGGGGGGGGGGGCACGCCCCCCCCCCCAATAATTTTGCCAATATATAGAATACTATAGAAAACTTAGCTACTATGTGCTTGTGCCCCCTCAATAAAAACGGCTGATGACCTTTTTTTTTTTTTTTTGCTTGTCAAGGAATTTTGGTAGTTGATAGTGCCCCTCAACTGAAAATGTTTGGCTGTGTCCCCCCCCCCCCAAACTGAAATTGCTTCCTACGGGCCTGTATACTATCCATTGGCATATCTTTTCTTTATTATTGTAATAATTTCATACTTGTCGGTTATGGGCTCTAAATTAGAAAATAAATGTTCTGTTCTGTTCTGTTCTATATAGCTTTAAGACTGGCTGTATTCAATTTTAAAGTTAAAAAAAAGTACAATTAGCCCCTCATTTTTCTTTTCAACAAAAATAAAGAACTTATAAATAGTGTGGAGCTCGAGTTTTCTGCGTGAAACAAAAGCAGCACAATATTACTGTACTCCCTTTTGAATCCCCCCCCCCCCCACACACACACGCACACACATCTTCCAGGAAAGAAATGATTCGCCCTAGTATCGTTAAAACACCATAAAAGAAAAGAAAAACTGACTCTCAGTTTCTATGGAAAAAATGAGGGAAAGGTGAGGTTTTATCAAAAAAAAAAAAAAGGAAATGCGAGTACATGCTGATCAATTCGGAAAAGTGGAGTCCTTGTTTTTAATATTCACATTACTGCTCAAAGTTCCGGTTTGAATTCACCGACGTATCTCAACTTTTTAACAATTAGAAACCCTTGCAACATCCAATGATAGTCTCTTCAACACTTTAACTCTGTGTACAAATATACCACCAAGTTTATCCAAGTTGGAAGAAAGAACATTCTTGTGCAGGTGTGTATTTCAAAGATTTTTGTTGCATAGCATACGTGTGACCTCAATATATTCTCCTATCTATACACGCGATATATATTGGCCACGTTGACGTTAACTGTTTCAACAAAGCACCTGTCATCATAATTTTTTTGGAATATGCCTAATAAGGAGTTAAAAAATCACATATATTACAAAGAGGAAACTTTTTACAAAATGTATCTGAATGAGATGTGTTTTCAGATAATATTTTTATATTTGCATTTTATAAATAATACATGAATATCCAATGTACAGTGCTTTAGGTGCTTTAGGCTATATTCAGCTACCATGTAATATATACAGAACAGAACAGAACATTTATTTTCTAATTTAGAGCCTATAACAGACAAGTATGAAATTATTATAATAATAAAGAAAAAGATATACATGTATAAAGGTCCTGCAACCAATATATATATATATATATATATATATATATATATATATATATATATATATGGCTTGGAGTAATGGTAATAAATGCATCACAATGCATTACTTTAAATCAAAGTAATGCTAGTAATATGTAATGCTGAAAAATCTGTAGTAAATGTAATGATAATTGAAAGCATTACATTCTCAATTCTAGAGTAATGCTGGCATTGAACAGTATTACAATGTATTATTTTGTGTAAGTGTATATCCATTTTTGAAATTACAAATGGACATAGAAAACATTGTTTAAATTAAATATTTTTTAATTAAAATGAATTAAACAATATAAGCTTTTGAAATACACTTTCTGTATATTTAAATACATTTTAAATTTTATAATATTCTGTGTAATTTATGATTAATACACATTTAAATTTTCATACTAATTTTAGATAAGCTTTAATTTCAAAGAGAATTCAATGGAGTTTAAAAATTCCTTCAAAAAATAATTTCAGTACAAAGTACACAAATTTAGGTATATTGTAAACAATATATTGCCACCTGATGAATTGAGTGTCAACAAAACACACAAAGCCTTTAGGAGTATGTAACAATATATTGTTTTGAGAAGTGCTCCAAAATCCAGCCCCTTTTGTGTGGCTGTGTTTATGAACCATTAACTGAGCTGGTGTAGCTGCATGGAGCTCCAGGAGCTGACCATGAGAATTAAATCCATTGGAGCAAAAGAAATAGAAGACAGGCATGCTACATTTCATAGAGCAAAATATATATACACACTGTCCAACCCCTTGTCAGTATTTTTTTTTCATAAGTTACAAGATCAAAACATTCTATTCTGGCAGGGTTCAACACTAACATTTTTAGGCTTTAGTCCAGCTGGACTAGTGCTTCTTTACTTTTACTAGTCCGCATGCAAATTTATGAGTCTGTCAAAAAAACCCCAAAAACATCATTGTTTTGTAACAGTTAATTTAAAAATAAACATTGCAAGGTACTTTTTATACTTTTTTGTAATAAACAAAGCATTTACTTGAAATGTTTTATTCTAAGATTTGTTGAAATCTCGTGATCAGGAACTACAATCATATTGCCGATCTCGTTCGTTTTTCTCATAGATACATTACATCCAAACGTCCGACATCTTTCTTTATGTGTCATACTAAATCATGATTGCTAAAATGTTTAATTTAATACCAATCAGTCCTAAAATTAAGTGCCGAGTTGACTCGGAATTACCTAACATCCCACCAAGAAGCTAAAAAGCTGAAAATACATGCAGGATTTTCCATAGAAAGTTATCGAGAATCGAACATCGGTAATTAATTGATTTTTTCCAGAAATTTTTATTAGTCCGTTCGGACTAATTAGCCACTTAATATAGTTACACAAAAAGTGCATATTGTACATAGTTTTATCTTATTGGTAATTGAAAAGTTTCTTCTAATGAATAAATAAAAAATATTTAAGTTTATTAAATTACAGTGACAGTGTAATAAATACAAGTACTAGACAATCAAGTTTGAATCAATATTCGTCATATTTCGTTTCAAAGGGATGGAGGTGCATGTTTATGAAAATAGCTGCATGAATTTTGTATTTCGATCTATTGTTGAAAATCCAAAAAGTAATGGTAATGATAATGCATTACTTTACTAAAGTAATGGTAATGTAATGCATTACTTTAAGAAATCAGAATAATGGTTTAATGTCCAAATTCTAGAAGTAATGGTAATGTAATGCATTACTTTACAATGTAATTTGCCCCAAGTCTGTTATATATTGATGTTCGAAATGGGACATAGGGTGTTAATCAATTAATTGATATATATAGACAGGGTCATTTTACGCATAGAGTGAACCTAGCTCTTTGGTACAAAGCATGATTGGGTTCATCGGATTCAAGTTTGATCAAGTATTTCCCAAGGGGAAATATTTTAGAAATTATGGTGGATTTGTCATGTCTACATTTCTAATTAAATTAACCCAAGATCCAAGGTGTGTTTTCCATTCAGATTGAGAAGATATGATATATGAAGTTCAAGATTTGCAAAATTATACAAGAACATAATTTCGCTATACATGTATAATGGATAGTAATTTTTTTTTTTTTATGTCAACGTTTCTTTTCTTATTTGCAGACCACACCATTAATTCAATGAGGCTAAGATACAGAAGAAACGCAATTTTAAAGTTGGGAATAGTGGTGATAACTCTCATTATTGTTGTACCCTTGATTGTTCATCACTTTGAGCGTCCTGCAGACGACGAAAATCCAGAAGTAATCAAGAAAAAACTCAGGGTATATTCATAACAAACTAAGTTACATTATATTAATATTCTATAAAAAATTAATAGAAAAATAAATTTTTAAATTAATAAAAATTTATTAATAGATTAATAAAAATTAATTAATTAATAATATTAATATCTCTCCAAACAATTAATAAACTAAAGCTTCATATTCTTCATCATGTTCATAAGGACCATTAAATAAAAAGAAGTACACATGTCCTTTAATTGCACCAAGCAACATATGTATAGCTCAGTATGAGTAAACATGTTTTGATTTTTCCCCTCATACATGTAGGTTGCAAGATATCAAGAGAAAAAGAGACAACAAAAGAACATCCAGAATGTTGTTGAAAATCCTGTCCTGGCTCAGAAGGGAGGAAAGTTTGAGTTGCCAGGTGATCAGGCTGTGGCAGAGCCAGCACATGGACCAGAAGCTGTATTGAAACCAGGTGTTTTGGGAAATTTTGAGCCAGACTACCCAAGTAAAAGTGGCCCAGGTAAGTATATTATTGGATTATCATTGAATTACCGTAACATTTGAAGGGAACAACTGTGATGTATGCAAAATAGCTACTCAAGTCTTGCTTCATTGATCTTAACTGATCAAGCTTCATACAGCATTCTTTCAGATATTTAGGATGTTCATAGTATTGAACCAAATTTTAGGTGAGAATGGACAAGCAGTGTATACAGGAATGGAAGAGAGGTCAAGGGCAGACAAATCTGTCAGGGAATTTGGATTTAACATGGTTAACAGTGACAAAATCTCAATGACCAGAACCATTCCAGACACCAGACTGGATGAGTGAGTTGGAATTTGATTTACTTTTATTGATTGATTGCATTGTCCTCAGGTACAAAAGATTCTGGGCAATAATATCAGATCAGTGCATTTATAATAACAGTTCAATTTTTTATCTGACAGTTGTTTTTTTTCTATTTTGTAAGGAATTTTGAAGAAGTCATGCTATATTTTTCTTACAATTAGTAACATTTTGTATTAGGGTATGTATTTTTTAAAGTGGAGGGTATTTGTTATGAAAATCATCCCCTTGAATTTATGCTCTGTAAATATTTTAAATAGTAAAGATTTAAACCATTGAACAAATTTTTAGTGAAATAATACTAGTACTTAATGGATGTTAAAATAATGCAAAACCTTCATGCTTACTTTGGTAGCATCTTTTTGTTTAACAGATGTAAGTACTGGCACTATCCTGAAGGTCTGCCTACTGCCAGTGTCATCCTTGTCTTCCATAATGAGGGCTGGTCCACTCTGATGAGAACTGTCCACAGCGTCATTGAAATGTCACCCAAACAGTACCTTCATGAGATTGTCATGGTGGATGATTTCAGTGACAAAGGTAATGCATATCTCTGTATGTGATAATATGAAAATAATTATGAAAACAAGTTTTATTTTAGACAATTTAAGGTAAATTAATCTTTCAAAATCTGTCAATTATGAGTTATATTTCACAATTGGTTGTTGTGGAAAATATTGGGAATATCTCGTTTTTTATGTGCGAGAGTCTAAATATTACTAGATGGCCATCGGGCAATACAGAATAGGGGAGAAGGCTTTTACATTGTCTTAGTTTTGAAAAGTATAATTAATACAGATTTTATTGAGACCATTTCAACATGGTTTTCAATTTTATAGAGCACTTGAAAGGAAAACTTGAGGAATACATAAAACAGTTTAATGGTTTGGTAAAGCTGTACAGAAACTCGGAACGTCTCGGCCTTATTGGTACCAGGACAAGAGGAGCTGAGTTAGCTACTGGAGATGTTATTGTATTTTTGGATGCTCACTGTGAATGTAATAGAAACTGGCTGGTTCCACTATTAGCCAGAATTCGCTATGACAGGTAATTGATAGACATCTTATCATATCTAGGTTCTCGGTTGACATACATGTAAAATGTTCAATTTCTCAAATTTTTAAAGCCCATCAAATATAAATAACAGTTTATATTTACATTCATATTTTAAACAGCATGACAAGACTGAATTTTTTGGAAAACTTTTATATTGTTCCTGGGTTTAAATATGGACACATTGAAACTATAATGAATCATCTGTAAATGGGTAGCACTTTTGTGAAATTAAATTTAATCATTTCATTTACTGAGCTGCATGTACATATATTAATAGGTGAAGTAAGGTCCAATACTAGAAATGTTCTTCTATCAAGAATTTAATTTTTAAAAAATTGATCTTACTATTTTCTATTATGGAAAGATCAGCCAATGAAATACAGAAATATTTTAAGCAAATGGCGAAGTTCACTGGTTTTTTAACTTATTAATATTATGCCATTCAGGACAATCATGGCTGTTCCCACCATTGATGGAATAGATTGGGATAATTTCCGCTACCACCCAGTCTATGGTGCTCAACATCATCGAGGAATTTTTGAATGGGGATTCTTATACAAAGAGAGTGTGGTCCCAGAGAGGGAGCTTAGAAAGAGAGAGCACAACAGTGCACCTTACAAGTAAGAACCCCCCCCCCCCTCACACACACACACACACATACACTCTAGGGACATGAATAGATGAATCCATGCTGTATTTATTTATTAGATTACAAAGAATTTTACCAAAGCAGTGAGGACATTGTAAAGATGAGTGTTTATGACTCCAGGAAAATGATTTCTCTAACAGTAGATGCTCTCTTTTTTCTAGGTTTTTGATGGACTCTGATCTCAGTAGGAAAAAAACGTGGATACATTATGTATCATTTTAAGAAAATTTTAGCTTTTGATTTGGAAAAATTGTATTAGTCAAAAAATATATATGTAATACAACTTCAAAATGACCAAACTGAGTCTCAGTCAATGAATTTGTGTACAGCTTCATCATTCATTTAAATATATTAACAATGTATTTTTACACAGGTCACCTACACATGCAGGAGGGCTGTTTGCTATGGATCGTAAATATTTTTTTGAACTGGGAGCTTATGACCCAGGACTGAAAATCTGGGGTGGTGAAAATTTTGAGCTATCATTCAAGGTATGCTGTAAATTCCTTTTTATTTTGTAAAGTAAAAATATATACCGGGTATGTTTATGTATTAGAATAGTAAGTTATTTTTCTTTTATTGATACCAAAAAGAAAAAAAAGAAATGTTAACTATTTCATATTGCCTTAAGGAGGCTGTGAACACTCTACACTAAAGAGTTCTAATTAAATGTCAGGTAGTTATACACAGCTAGAATGGTCTGCCCTTAGATGTAAAATAGAGTCAAATCTTCAGTAAATGGCACAGTATTAAATAAAAGTATTCTTAGTATTACTGGAGTTCACAAATTTTGGCAACACCTTATTTTTGCAAGATAGCCTTTTGGTATTTATAACTAATAAGGAGACATAATCTTCAACTAATTACATGTATCTACTTTTGATTATTTATTGTATGCAATTTTTACTGATTTGTATTTGTATTGTTTATTACCAAGAACCATACAGTTCATAGGTTTAAAGTATATTCATGAATCAATTTGTACATTATATATATATAACATTTCATTATCATTTGTACATTAAGTAAAGCAGGATCATAGTAAAGGATCTTACATACTATTCATTCTTGGTTCACAAAGCAGACAAAAGCACCATAATATATATTAGTCCATAAAGCAGACAAAAGCACCATAATAAAAGTTGGTAATACATGTAATAATAGTGAGGATAATCTCGTTATATCAATGTGAGTTAACTTTTGCTCTCAATCTTGTACATTTAGAAAGATATTTTCCTAGTTTACATAACTCTGTTACATTTTTTGTCGACAACAATTGAACAAGTTTAAAGGTAGATGGTTTTTGGTGATAATATTTCTTAATTACTCTTTTCTAACATCGGAAAAAAACGGACAAACCAGAATAAAATGATACTCGTCTTCAACTTGTGACATTGAACAAAATTTGCACAATCTTTCTATTCTAGGAATATTAAAAAATCTCCCTCGTTCTATCTCTAGTTGGTGAGAAGATAGACGATATTGACTGATATGTTGTACATATTTTTGTGATATTGATTTTGTGAAATATAATTGTAAATTAAAACTATCGCTTAAATACCTATACAAAATACACTTAGGGGAAGCTTCAAAATTACTTCGTGCTTCTTGTATGAACATGTCATCCAATCTTTGTTTCACCTCAAACAAAAAAAGTTTTTCATTTAGGTAGTCTTTACAGTTCCATATATAACCAAAGCCTAAAGTATCAACAAGATCTTTTATATATGACAGCCAACAAGGAAAAGTATTTGATTCACACACATCTAACATTTCTTGGTATATATTTCTTAAAATGCAATTATCACTATTTTTTAACTTTAGCCAATACTTCAGCATTCTAATTTTTCTGTTCCATTGTAATGGTTTCCGACCTAGTTCAAAATAAACCATCATAGAGACAGTGCTTTTTTTAACACTTAGTACTTTCTTACAAAAATCTGAGTGGATACTTTCTAATTCTCCTGCTGGGTGAAACCCCCAAACTTCGCAACCATAATTTGCTATACTACCAATATACATGTATGTATCAAAAAATGACAATTTAGTGCTTACATTCAAATGCATTGGTTTCATTTTTGTTATCAAACTACTTAAACTCTTTCTACATTGTGCTGCTAATACACTTTGTGTTTTATGAAATTTACCGTTATAATTCAAAGTAATTCCTAAGTAATTAAAATTTTCAACAATATCAATCAATTTGTTGTCATATTTCCAACAGTAATTTTTCTTCAATCTACCACCTTTTCTAAATACCACAATTTTAGTTTTATCCAAATTAACCTTAAGTTTCCACTTTGTTGTATATTGCTGTAAACAATTAAGCATATCTTGTAAACCTTGTTCTGTCTCTGAGAAAAGTACAGTGTCATCTGCATACATTATCAAAAACATAGCAATATCTCTTATTTCTACGGGGATACACATATTTTCTATAAATTCCATTTCAAAATCATTAACATACATAGAAAACAAAAATGGAGATAGAGATTCACCCTGCATCAGGCCCTCTTGGCAGCCAAAGAATTGGGAAATTTGATTTCTGTGTCGTACACAAGATTTTATATTAGAATACAAAGATTTAATAATATTCAACATCTGACAATCGATACCACTTTTTGCTAATTTAGATAACATAATATGTCGATCAATTTTATCAAATGCCTTTTCATAGTCTACAAAACAGCAAAATAATTTTTTCCCTTTGGCAATCGCTCGGCTGATTAACCAATGAAGAACAAAAATAGCATCTGTTGAGCTATGACCGGCTTTAAAACCAAATTGTGCATCAGTAATGATACTATATTTATTTGACCATGTACTCAATCTCTCATTAAGTAAGGAAGTAAAAATTTTTGACAGACAACTTACAAGTGTGATCCCTCTATAATTATTACAGTCATTTATATTTCCTTTTTTGAAAATTGGAGTAATGATACCTTCTGACCAGCTATTGGGAAAAACGCCTGATGTAAAAACAATGTTAAATAAATCCACAAGATATACGATGAGAATATCATTACACTCAATAAAATATTCATTTAATAGATTGTCAATTCCCGGAGATTTTTCTTTCTTCAAATGTTTGATAACACGAGTTATCTCCTCTGCGGTTATTGGATTGTTCAATTCAGGATATGCAGAATTGTCTTTTTCTGAGGACACCGAGTCACTACTGGCATGCATTGAATGTTGATTTGAGGACAGTTCTTTAAAGTGGTTATAAAATTCTGAGAGATCCGGTCCATGTGACACGCTTCCTTTCTTTTTGTGGAAAATGCGATAGAATTCTTTTGGATTTTTCTTCCTTATGTATTCCATTTGATCTCCTTAGTAATGGAAATATTCTCTTTTGACTTTTCTTTCATACCTTTTATAATTTCTCTTAGAGGTGACCAGTAAATTTCTGTAAAAATGTGTCCGTGAGCTATTAAACACATTTAAATTTCTTAAGTAAGTTTAACGTAACTCCGTGCATTTGACATCAAACCAAGGTTTATTGTCTTTTCTTTTGATTTGGTTGGAGGTATTATTAATTATAATTTCCTTACCACAATGCGGGAGAAAAACATCGTTAAGTACCTGCGTAAATGTCTCAACACAGTTATTGACCCCTTCTTTTGTTATTTCTACATCATCTAAAGCGTCCGCAAGATGTTGTAAATGACTACATAGTTCAGTTTTAATTTCATTATATAACAAGTCATCCCATTTCGATAGATTTATTAACACAAATTTGAAAATGCAGTGGAGCGTGGTCAGACCATTCATTAAAATCTTCAACATGAAAATAATCAACTACATGAAAAAAATTTTCAGATACAATTGTAAAGTCATTAACACTAACTCCAAGGTGATTGAAAAATGTATATCTACCATCCTTATCTCCAAGTGTACGACCATTACATACTCGTGTACAGGTTGAACGACAGAGTTCTAACAATTTCCTTCCAAAACTATTTACAACTACATCTTGTGTCTTTCTCTCTGGTAATGGAACATCGCAATTATAATTTATAACAGGTGAGATAAATTTATTCAGCTCTGTACCCATCGAATCATATTCTATGAAATCTAATGAGGTACCTATACGTGAATTAAAATCACCACTTAGTACAACACATCCCTTTTCTTTGTACATTGATATGTCCTCATTCAGAGTAGTAAATAAATCAATATCATTTTTTTTGTAAAAAACATTATTTTCATGCGGTATGTAAACAAATCCAATATAAAGGTTGGTATTTTGAACATTAATACCGTTTTGCAGTTTCACCCATAAAATGGATTCATGTTCAATACTCTCCACCACCAGATTATCGTGTAATTCTTTCTTGTAAATAAGAATAAAACCTCCACCTTTACAAGATTTTCTTGGAAAACATTTGTGAAAAAATCTTTCATTAATAAGACTGTCATCAATTTCAGTATTTACATCAAGCCAACACTCTGATAAAAAGATAATATCATATGTGTCAATAAATGATATGAATTCTGGGTCTCTAATTTTATTATAAATCTGTCGATTAACATTCCAGGAACATATTTTGAGTTTATCCCCGACGTTTTCCTATTTGGTGGTATTGTTATCAAGTGTTGGGCGATAAAGCCTATTGTCGATGTAAAGCATGTTGTACACCAGTCTAACTCTATGTCCTTCCTCGCGTTTTTAGCTCTACTGGTCAGAGACCAGAAGAGCTTATGCGATAGTAAGGTGTCCGTCGTCCGTCCGTCCGTCCGTCTGTCTGTCTGTCCGTCTGTCTGTAAACAATTTTTCAAAATGCTACTCCTCCTACAGTTTTGGTTCTGATTTCAATATAACTTGGCACACAAGTAGACTACACTAAGATGCATAATTTAGTGCATCGGTTTTTGATTTCGATGAACGGTGTTGTCATGGTTACTAAAAATAGAAATTTCTGTGAAATTCCTTTAAAACGCTACTCCTCCTACAGTTTTGGTCTGATTTCAATATAACTTGGCATACAAGTAGACTACACTGAGATACATAATTTAGTGCATCGGTTTTTGATTTCGATGAACGGTGTTGTCATGGTTACTAAAAATAGAAATTTCTGTGAAATTCCTATAAAACGCTACTCCTCCTACAGTTTTGGTCTGATTTCAATATAACTTGGTACAGAAGTAGACTGCACTAAGATACATAATTTAGTGCATCGGTTTTTGATTTCGATGAACGATGTTGCCATGGTTACTAAAAATAGAAATTTCTGTGAAATTCCTTTAAAACGCTACTCCTCCTACAGTTTTGGTCTGATTTCAATATAACTTGGCACACAAGTAGACTACACTTAGATACATAATTTAGTGCATCGGTTTTTGATTTCGATGAACGGTGTTGTCATGGTTACTAAAAATAGAAATTTCTGTGAAATTCCTTTAAAACGCTACTCCTCCTACCGTTTTGGTCTGATTTCAATATAACTTGGCACACAAGTAGACTACACTAAGATACATAATTTAGTGC